GACCCCAATGTAAGGGAATTCTTCCCAGACCCAATGAAAGGGGACATTCTTCCCACTGACCCCCAATGAAAAGGGGCTTTCTTCCATGACCACAATTAAGGGACATTCTTCCCTGACCCAAATTTGTAAGGGACATTCTTCCCACTGACCACCAATGTAAGGGACATTCTTCCCAACCCCCAATGTAAGGGATATTCTTCCCACTGACCCCCAATGTAAGGGACATTCTTCCCACTGACCCCAATGTAAGGGACATTCTTCCCACTGACCACCAATGTAAGGGACATTCTTCCCACTGACCCCCAATGTAAGGGACATTCTTCCCACTGACCCCCAATGTAAGGGCATTCTTCCCACTGACCCCCAATGTAAGGGACATTCTTCCCACTGACCCCCAATGTAAGGGACATTCTTCCCACTGACCCCAATGTAAGGGACATTCTTCCCACTGACCCCCAAATGTAAGGGACATTCTTCCCACTGACCCCCAATGTAAGGGACATTCTTCCCACTGACCCCCAATGTAAGGGACATTCTTCCCACTGACCCCCAATGTAAGGGACATTCTTCCCACTGACCCCCAATGTAAGGGATATTCTTCCCACTGACCCCAATGTAAGGGACATTCTTCCCACTGACCCCAATGTAAGGGACATTCTTCCCACTGACACCCCAATAAGGGACATTCTTCCCACTGACCCCAATGTAAGGGACATTCTTCCCACTGATCACCAATATAAGGGACATTCTTCCCACTGACCCCCAATGTAAGGGACATTCTTCCCACTGACCCCCAATGTAAGGGACATTCTTCCCACTGACCCCCAATGTAAGGGACATTCTTCCCACTGATCACCAATATAAGGAGTATTATAGTATCTCCACCTGACTGCCTATAAACCAGCAATCTGAGAAGGAATCTGCTGCGGATTGGTTTTCAGAGCCTGCTGCCCATATGAAGGAAACATTAGAAGAGTTGTTAGAATTCCCCATCCTATTGACTGACAATCGGAGGCAGTCCATACATGCCACAATCGATGACAATGTCGGTATAAAGCTGCTTATTTTATTTATTTTTTGCATTTAAATTCTAAATCAAACTTTAAAAAAACAAAACAAAAAACAAAAACAAACTTGTAGCTCTGTGGCTTTTTGAAGTATTTCCTCTTCCTCCATGGACTCTCAGCAAAGAGAGATTTCAGGCACAAGGGCCGACATACTAGAGCAGCGCTCTTCAAAAGTTCAGAACTTTTCATCAGAAGAGCTATTATTGTATGTAAAGATGGAGGAGGGGGAGGAGGGAAAAGGAAAAAAGGAGGATTTTCGTGAAGGCACAACTTATCCGCACTGAAATGATTTTCTCCGAGGCCAAATTGCATCCTGTACAAATTGTAGCACTTTGCTGTGATTGCACAGCTGCAGGACAAAACCCTGAGCATTGCCGGGGAGAGACTCCGAGAGCAAACCTGTCCGGACAGCTCCTCCCGCCTCCGAGGTGTCGCTCTGCCGCCGGCTGCGGATTAAACGATTTCTTCATAAAATACGGTGATAAGCCTCCCTATACCTTCTAGAATGATTTTATTGCACGTGTTGTGTCCACCTGCAGGAGAAGATCAACACCATACAAACTCTAATCTTCATAGAAAGGTCCTTCGTGTCCTCCAATTGGAAAAATGTAAGGAAAAAAAGAAAAGAAAAGAAAAAGAAAAGAAAAGAAAAAAAGGAAAAAATAGAAAAAGAAAAGAAAAGAAAAAGAAAAAAAAAGAAAAGAAAAAAAGAAAAAAAAAAAAAATAGAAAAAGAAAAGAAAAAAAAAAAAAGGAAAAAATAGAAAAAGAAAAGAAAACAAAAAAAGGAAAAAAATAGAAAAAGAAAAAAAAAAAAAAAAAAGAAAAGAAAAAAAAAAGAAAAAGAAAAAAAAAAAAAAGAAAAAAAAAAAAGGAGGATCCTTCCAAGTCCCGCAAACAGCACAACGACATGAATACAAACGTTCATACGACTTCAGTAAAGAGAAATTAGCCGGAGAAGAAAACCAAACCAAAAAGAAGAAAAAAAATGAAAATTCTGGACCGAAACCGAAAATCCAGGATGAATGAAAACTGAAAACGGAGAGATCTTTAAAAATATATATTTTTTTACATATAAAATTGTATTACATTTGACTTTTTAATTAATATCATGAATTTAAATGAACGTGAATTAAAAAAATACAAGCCAGTAAGCTCAAATAATTTCTTGAAAGTAACACAAAAACTGGACAGAAAATAAATTGAAATATGTAAAAAATAAAATAAAGGCGTTTTTGCATTGAAGCCAATAGGGGGTGTTTTTGCATTGACGGCAATAGGATGCGATTTTTGCATTAAAGTCAATGGGACGCGTTTTTGTATTAAAGTCAATGGGACACGGTTTTGCATTAAAGTCAATAGGGGCGTTTTTGCATTGACGTTAACGGGACGCATTTTTTGCATTAAAGTCAATGGGACACATTTTTGCATTAAAGCCAATGGGATGTGTTTTTGCATTAAAGCCAATGGGATGCATTTTTGCATTAAAGCCAATGGGATGCATTTTTGCATTAAAGCCAATGGGATGCGTTTTTGCATTGAAGCCAACGGGATGCGTTTTTGCATTGAAGCCAACGGGATGCGTTTTTTGCATTAAAGCCAATGGGACACATTTTTGCATTAAAGCCAATGGGACACATTTTTGCATTAAAGCCAATGGGACACATTTTTGCATTAAAGCCAATGGGATGCATTTTTGCATTAAAGCCAATGGGATGCATTTTTGCATTAAAGCCAATGGGACGCGTTTTTGCATTGAAGCCAATGGGACGCATTTCTGCATTGAAGCCAAAGGGACGTGCTTTTGCATTGAAGCCAATGGGATGCGCTTTTGCATTAAAGCCAATGGGAAGTGGTTTTGCATTGAAGTCAAAGGGTTCGCAATTTTGAATTGAAGTCAATGGGATGCAATTTTTGGATTGAAGTCAATGGGACGCAATTTTGAATTGAAGTCAGTTATCACTATCAGCACCTTTTTTTTTACTCTATCAGCAAAATGCTAATAACCCCATTTTCGCCCCGTAATGTTCGGCAGCCGATATATCGGTGCATCACTACTTCTAGCCACAAAAAATCAAACAGTTTACCATGCATGGGCAGTGCACACTCCATGCCAGCCAAGGACAGCTAGAGCAATGGGGCAAAAAATGGGCACAAGGTGGTACATCCATTCTATGGCATGCATTAGGAGGGGGGTGCAGTTCGGCATCCTTGCCCTGGGCGCTGGATGAACCTGTCCCAGTAATGATAAAAACACACAGCTAAGCCGTGTTTTTTACCACCCCCAACCTCTCCCTCCTAAGCTACAAAGGCAGTGGACGGTGTCATGTCAACACAGCAAAAATCACACCCGCTGTTGTGCTTGGTGGACAGTACTACCTGCCGAACGCAACCCGTTCAGCTGAATGGGGGCCATGCTGCTATTGCCTTGCAGTTACAAGCAATGTACAAAGCGAACCGTGATGGGGGATAAAAATAAAAACTAAAAAGAAAAAATCTGTCCAGAACTTACAAAGCAGCAAAAGCCCAGATTGACATTTTCTCCTTCTGGCTCTTGTCTACAGGTTTACGTCTTGGAAGGAAATCATAAAACTCTCCTCTGGCAGAAAGATGCTGACTTCAGCCACCTTGTAAAATCCCAGAATCCTCAACCCTAAGCCTGGTTATGTAACTTCACAGGAATCCGAAACTCCGGGCCGGCTCAGAGAGCGGGGACAGGAATCTGAAACTCCGGGCCGGCTCAGAGAGCGGGGACAGGAATCTGAAACTCCGGGCCGGAGCTCAGAGAGCGGGGACAGGAATCTGAAACTCCGGGGCGGATCAGAGAGCTGGGACAGGAATCCGAAACTCCAGGGCCGGCTCAGAGAGCGGGGACAGGAATCTGAAACTCCGGGCCGGCTCAGAGAGCGGGGACAGGAATCTGAAACTCCGGGGCGGATCAGAGAGCGGGGACAGGAATCTGAAACTCCGGGCCGGCTCAGAGAGCGGGGACAGGAATCTGAAACTCCGGGGCGGATCAGAGAGCTGGGACAGGAATCCGAAACTCCAGGGCCGGCTCAGAGAGCGGGGACAGGAATCTGAAACTCCGGGGCCGGCTCAGAGAGCGGGGACAGGAAAAACTCTGAGAGCGGGGACAGGAATCCGGGGCGGATCAGAGAGCGGGGACAGGAATCCGAAACTCCAGGGCCGGCTCAGAGAGCGGGGACAGGAATCCGAAACTCCAGGGCCGGCTCAGAGAGCGGGGACAGGAATCCGAAACTCCGGGCGGCTCAGAGAGCGGGGACAGGAATCAGAGGGGACAGGAATCTGCGGGGACAGGAATCCGAAACTCCGGGGCGCTCAGATCAGGAGAGGGCCGGCTCAGGAGGGGGACAGGAATCCGAAACTCCAGGGCCGGCTCAGAGAGCGGGGACAGGAATCCGAAACTCCGGGCCGGCTCAGAGAGCCGGCTCAGAGAGGGGACAGGAATCTGAAACTCCGGGCCGGCTCAGAGAGCGGGGACAGGAATCTGAAACTCCGGGGCGGATCAGAGAGCGGGGACAGGAATCCGAAACTCCAGGGCCGGCTCAGAGAGTGGGGACAGGAATCCGAAACTCCGGGCCGGCTCAGAGAGCGGGGACAGGAATCCGAAACTCCGGGCCGGCTCAGAGAGCGGGGACAGGAATCCGAAACTCCGGGCCGGCTCAGAGAGCGGGGACAGGAATCTGAAACTCCGGGCCGGTTCAGAGAGCGGGGACAGGAATCTGAAACTCCGGGCCGGTTCAGAGAGCGAGGACAGGAATCTGAAACTCCGGGCGGCTCAGAGAGCGGGGTCAGGAATCAAACTCCAGCCTGGCTCAGAGAGCGGGGACAGGAATCTGAAACTCCGGGCCGGCTCAGAGAGCGGGGACAGGAATCTGAAACTCTGGGCCGGCTCAGAGAGCGGGGACAGGAATCTGAAACTCCGGGCCGGCTCAGAGAGAGGACAGATGTTCACTAAGAGGCGGCAGATGCTGCACATAGACAGGATTAGTCCCCCAGATCGCAGGAAGGGGGCGCTGCAACGTACAGAGAGCCCCCAGCAACCAATCACATTTCACTGTACATAAATCTGCCAAAAGAGCCAAAAATGTTAGAACACAATTCTAACATTTTTGGCTCTATACACCACAATGGATTTGAAATGAAACGAACAAGATGTGCTTTAACTGCAGACTGTCAGCTTTAATTTGAGGGTATTTACATCCAAATCAGGTGAACGGTGTAGGAATTACAACAGTTTGCATATGTGCCTCCCACTTGTTAAGGGACCAAAAGTAATGGGACAATTGGCTTCTCAGCTGTTCCATGGCCAGGTGTGTGTTATTCCCTCATTATCCCAATTACAATGAGCAGATAAAAGGTCCAGAGTTCATTTCAAGTGTGCTATTTGTATTTGGAATCTGTTGCTGTCAACTCTCAAGATGAGATCCAAAGAGCTGTCACTATCAGTGAAGCCATCATTAGGCTGAAAAAACAAAACAAACCCAAAAGACCCGGAAGACCACGAAAAACGACTGAAGAATTCTTTCCCTGGTGAAGAAAACACCCTTCACAACAGTTGGCCACATCAAGAACACTCTCCAGGAGGTAGGTGTATGTGTGTCAAAGTCACCAATCAAGAGAAGACTTCACCAGAGTGAATACAGAGGGTTCACCACAAGATGGAAACCATTGGTGAGCCTCAAACACAGGAAGGCCAGATTAGAGTTTGCCAAACGACATGTAAAAAAGCCTTCACAGTTCTGGAACAACATCCTATGGACAGATGAGACCGACAT